TTTCGCAGCGATGCATTTTTAATTTATCGAGCCTCCTGTATCAAAATATGATTTTTCATAAAAAGTGAAGTTAGTAAATTTTCTCACTATGCTAGCGATATGCGAGTTTTACAATCAGTTTATCGTAAATTTTAAATAGTTTTATTTCATGGTATGTTTAAATGCTTTCAGATATTGAATTTTTACTCATATTCATAAAATCCCGGAATCCCAATTTTCCTCATATTTTGGCATCCCTAGTACATACATATACCTACATATATAATGTGGATGTATTTGTGTGCGTTGGTGCTTTTGTCCTGTCAACTCTGCTTCCTCCCATTTATCTCCCCACTCAAACGTTTTCCCTCAACTCGATGGCGCTGATGAAATAAGATTATTTATTACTAAATTCTCTCATTCTTCGTCCAGCAAATATCAACATATCCCTTAGGCGATGAGCCGCTCTTATGGCTCGTTTGTTAAGCTGTTCCGCTGCCTTTCGGGCATCATAAATTGTTATTGGAGGCATTGTTGTCGCAAATAACGTACATAACAATTTATCATATTGTAAATTTCTCATATAATGTTGCGCGTATCGTCGTAACAGGAACAGAGCAACTTATTATTGATATCTTTTAATATGCGACATAAAAATATACTGAAGAAGGCGATAAATGCAGCAGAGTACGAAACCTTTTTTGTTGTAGGTATTGCTGTCTGTTGTTGTGTGTGCCTCATTTGAATTAATGATTGTTGATTTTCGATATCCCGTAATTTGACAAAATTGCCTTGTTTTCTAATTTATGGCGATTTTGTAATTTCATGTTCGGGATTTATTTACACAGAAGAAAAAAGCTACAAAAGTTAAAAATAACGTTAGCTATGCGACGATTTTAAAGAGTCTACCAAGGCAGTCCTTTTGTTTGAAGCAAATTTTGCTTTTTAACGGCTAGGATAGCCAATTCTAATGGTGTTTTGCCATATGAAGCGATTTTGTTTAAAGAAATTTTACATAACCGTATTATTAGTTGAATGGATAACAAATTTGGAGTGGCATAGAGAATTGTCATTCTTCTTGGCATGCAATTACAATTGTTCGACGACATATACTTAATCCAAACTTCTGCATCCACGTTCGCGCACTCTAGGCCGCGAGACGCAGACAAACAGATAGATGTACAAGCTTTAATGGACTTATCTCATCGTTCTGATTATTTTGGTAGAATTTGATATAGGTCAATCTCTTATTTTTCTAACACGTGGAGGTTTTTTTTAATCCCGAAACATAACCCTAAAGTAATATAATTAATGTACAGCTGTCCACAAAATAATAGGAGTGCGATATTTTGACCAGTTTTGGCTATTTGTCTTTTTTTTATTTTTTTTTTATAAAAGTCTAGCTGGCTATTCAACAAGCCCCACATAAATTCAGTTTTCAAACTGTGTACAAAAATACAAAAAAATTTCGCAAATTTTCACCCGAATTTCAAATTTTTTAATCAGAATCTTCAATAAAAATGTTGGTATGCAGTGGGCTACCCATTTAATTCTAGTAAAATAAAGTGCAAGTTTTAAGCTGCTAAAAAATTCCGTTGATTTTTGGCGATTTTTTTTTTGCTGGCAGTGTCCTCCATATATTGAAAGAAACAAGACAATTTTGTCAACCAAAAAAATTCTAAAAAATCACCGGAATTTTTATGCAACATGAAACTTGCACTTTATTATACTAAAATTAAATGGGCTACAAAACTGATACCAAATTTTTTTCTAAAGATTTTTTACAAACTTTTAAAATTCAATTTATTATTTTGTGCACAACTGTATGTAAAAATTGGTAAAACCGGTTTTTTTTCAATTTATAGTAGGGGTATTCTCGCAGTCTTGCAAAGCCTTCCACGGTGCACGGATGCTTTGCAAACCGTGCAAGCTGTCTTATAGGAAAACCGGTTTTTTCGTGCAATCCATGCACCGTAGATGAGCTCTGCAAGACTCCGAGAATATCTCTAGTGTGTTTGGGAGCATATTATTATTTTTTTATCACCAATAATTGTCAACATCTGTTATTTCAGGGTTACACAAGGACGTTTTTGGAAAATGAGATCAACAAAAATATCAATAACATTAAACAGCAGAAAAAGGTTTAGATTATCAATTCAATCATAAATTAAATAAAATTAGATAGGTATCTCAGACGCGCGGCGGTAGTTTTTTACTCACCTGAGAACCGTGGCGCATCTAGAGTGTAATTTTGGTAAAGCAACTTTCATAATTGTAAACCTTATACAATAATTGTGTTAACAAGTAACCATAAACTAATTTTTTTATGCATACATATAAGTATGTAAATAAACATTTATTTTAGACACTCAAAGTGTTTTGGTGGTTGCCCATATCGAGATATGTATATATATTCCCATCACTTTTTTTGGCTTTACTTCAATGTCGTAATTTATATTGATTAGGGCCAACCCGTTCGATCTTAAATTTAAAATATTGACAGAATTTTCAGTTTGAATCGAAAAAAAAGTTTATTTATAAATATCTAACATATATATATTTTGATCTGGAAAATTGGTGCCTGACAGACTACACGTCACTAAAATAGGGAAATTTCGGTCACGTCAGTGGCAGACTTTTTTTTAGTTGTGTTTAACTTTGAGATAAAACCCCGGCAGGTGGCGCTGGAATCAAGTTATTACTGAAAAGCGTATTTATAGTCCGATTTCGGTCATATTCTATATATGTATTGGTAAGGGGAAGAAAAATATCCATGCGAAAAATGTATCAGCTAGGGAGCGCTGGAGTCGAGTTATCTAAACTAATGCACATTTTGAAAGCCGTTTGTTTTCTGTTCACAATGCTCGAGAACGGCTGAACCAATTTTCTTGAAATTTCGGACAACTACTACAGTCTTTCCAAGGCGGGTTATAGCCTATACAAATTTTCGGTATATAAAGGGCGCGTCGGAGCTCCCATACAAACCCAATCTACGTTGGAACGGCGATTGTATTTTTCTGAGAAGCTGTTTTCATGGCAGTGTATTCCTCCTGCCGAGGGGCGATCGCTGTTAAAAAAACAACCTTTCTGAAGTCAATTGAATACTCAAAACAGAAAATGCAGGTTATTGGAAAAGCCGGTGTGGCACCTCCCATAAAAACTGCATCTCTTATTGCATAACTCTTGAAGTGTTTATGGTAGAGTGAGTACTAGAACTTAGTATGGAAATGTATGAAAGCAAACGCATACTCATGGAGAAAAGTTACACTATTTTAGTAGGGGGTTGTGTGTGGTTAAGGGTGTCTGTGGACAGTATCGTAAAGGGAAATATTGCTGTGAAAAACTTTGTCCGCCAAGTGGCTCAGGAGAGGAGTTGCATATTAATAAAACTTCGTGTTTATGCTGCGATTTGGCTCATATTCGGTATACAGTAAGTCAAACAAATGACCACGTGTTGATTTTTTTTTATATTCATAGATAATGTTTTTTGAGCTAAATTTTTTTTGTTATTTTTTTTAAGTACCGTCTAAGCTTTAACCAAAACCATATAAATCACAATTTCAAACTTTATAGCAAATTTAGGAAAATTCAACAAATTTTCATCAAAATTTAAACATTTTAACCGGAATCTTTAGAGCATTTTCGGGTATGCAGTATTATGGCCTATATAATTTTACTCCAGTGAAGTGCAAGTTTCAAACCGTTGAAAAATCCCGTTGATTTTTGAAATTTTTTTTGTGGCATATTTTTATAGAAAAATAACAAAAAAAATTAAGCCCGAAAAACTTTACTTTATGTTTAAAAAAATGAACACGTGGTCATTTCTTTGAGTCACTGTATGTATTGATAATGGTAAGGGCAATACTTTTGCAAAAAAGAACCGCCAGGTAGCGCTGGAGTCGAAAAAATGTTATTTTGGGCGGGACGAAGTTTGTCGGGTCAGTTAATTTAATATAAAAAAATGTTTTGGTGGAAAGCGAAGCGAGCCGCGGAAAAACAAGTATGTATGTATGTATATAAATATGTACTTGTATGTGTATAAAAATAAATCTAGATCATAGTTATAATTACATGCTTTCCATTTTCAATATGAAATATTGCCATTATCTTTATTTGTCGTAAGCGCAATATGATAAAAATAGATGTGCATTTTTTTTTGCATTGTCGCGAAATGTATTAATTCATACATTTTCCAATTGAAGCGATTCCCATTGCATCGCGATATGCATTAACGTCAATAGCGAAAACAAACACAATAGATTATGGGACAATGCAAATGTAAATATGTATCTACGTTCTCGTCTGTATGTACGTACATTCCCAGCGATTGTGGGCGGAGACAGACATACTGAATTGACAACTACGAGCTTTTTATTTACCATATTTACAACAAATTTCCGGCCGAAAAGCGAATTGATGGCAGAAGAGCAGCCGCACTCTAATAAAATATAGTTTTTATGCAGTGATAAGAATTTATTCATTTTTTCCCTAACAATAAAAAAATGCACACTATATGATTGTATTTATATTCTAATATAAATGCATTTGTATGTATGTATGAAAGTGTGTAAGCGAATATGCAAATACACAATTCAAATATTCACTGCCAAATGAAAATGGATTGGCACTTTTATCGCTCGTAATTACTCTAAGAGGTTATAAGTGATATGCATCTAAAAGTGTACACCGAGAAAAATAAATGTTAAAAGCTTTACGTAAATTGCAATTTTATCCCGAATTAAATTCATTTTTATTTATTTAAGAAGTTTGTGTATGAAATTAAGGGCCGTTTCCTCAAAAAAATTGGTAAAATGTAAGTTAGTAAAAACGAGTTCACATATTATTACTTTTAAATAATATGGCTTTTAAGTTAAGGCGTGTGAGTAAACGTGTAAAATGATTGCGTATGGTGCAACGAGGCGTATACGTTGCATACGCAACTACGGGTATAAGAGCATGCACACTAGTTAATCATAGCACTTTTAACATTTCCAGTTGTCGTGATCAAAATATGCGAATCTCATCCTTTTGCGGCTGGCGCCAAAGAGGAAGGCCTTTGTTCTGAGTCCCAAGCCCTGCAGAACTTGGAACTGGAGTAATTTTTTCAGAATACGTGTCTACGGCTAAGTCATGGTGAATGGACGATGCAGAATTCAGTGGATCCTTTAACCCAATACAGGGGAGAGGTCCTACAAAAGCTCAAGGCTCCCCTTCCTCCTGCGTGAGCCCAAAGCTCACGTTACGTCACTAATTAAGTACACTATATATGTACCTACATATATTCAAGCAACTGTAACTGCGGACGTAGAACCGCCACTATACCTCATTTGGTAACCAATTAGTTCAAAAGATTTATACAGTTTTCTACAAAGCTTGATGCCATTTAAAACTAGTTTTAATTAGTTTTTTTTTGTTGTCATTAGTTCTTCCATCAGTGTATATGATAAATTTTGGAATCAGTTTCCATCACCCTTTATCCAAATTGGTGTAGAGACATGCCAAGTCTCTTTTCGTTACTATAGGCCCAAATGGAGCGGTCGGGTCGGGAATTTTCGGAAATTCAGTAAGGTTTTGCTAAGTTGATAAATTTGATTAAAAAAAAAAACTCATTAGTACTTGGTTCGAATTTTCTCTTGGCGACCCTGCGTTATTACTATGTGATTGTTAATAAGTCCATAATTTTTCTAATTGAGCCTTTCTCTATGTCGCTAAAATCATGCCACATATTTTTACAGTGTTTTATTAATTTCCGTTAATTAAAAAACCATCGCCCCTTAGGGCCGCCACTAATTACTACATAGCTTAACATTTAGCCATCATTTAGTATTTACCCTTTCGAGCATAAACACAAGCGAGCATATAGCTAACCAATTCGCAGCTAACTTTAAAATGTTTGAAGTCAAACTGCAATCCAAGCCACTCTTACAAAGTTTCAATTCAATTTTTTATTGGTGCAAGCTTTTGGGCGTCTATCCATATGACTTTCAGAAATTCTACTATGACGGTGTACTTCAAAGCTCCACAGTGGGCAGTTGTGTGGTGATAATCGTAATGTGCTTTGTTTTTATGCTCTTCAATTTGATGCTGTTCACTTTTGCCGGAAATGATGTCGTTCCGAAGTATAGTAAGTGCACGTAGAAAATACAACAAATAAACTTTTTCTTACGGTTTAAATTAACTACTATCTTATTTACCTCTAGATCATCTAAATCTCATAGTACTTATTGCGCTTACTTATATTTCACCCGTAATGATGATGGTCGATCAAATAACCGCTATACGTAATCAGAATGCACTCCCTGCGCTCTTCGAACGAATTGAATATTTAGATGAAGAACTACGACAGCTGGGTTATTCGGTCGATAATAAGCATGTGCAGCGACGCATACGGCTGATGATCGCAGTGACTGTATTGTTGGAGTGTTGCATATTCGCCGCTTACATATGGTTGCAGGTTGACGTATTGCGATGGACGTTGGTTCTGTGGATCTTTGCCTCCACACCGACCTTCTACAATACCCTAGACAAGATTTGGTTTATGGGAATATTGTTGGGTCTGAGATACCGTTTTGATGCTATTAATGAAACGTTCGATACAATCGCTGGAGAGCTTGATAAAAAGTGTATGCAGAGTCGGAAGAAGCAGCGAAGCGGGGATGTTGCGCTGCAACCATCGTTATCATTCGAAGCAGAAGATATTGGCCGTAAGTACTGATTGTGTTAACATATCAAAACGTATGCATAACTAGTTAAGTTAGATACAAAACTATTAGAGATAGCATCGATAACAACGGTGGCCGCCGTGTTCGAGTGGCTGCAGGCGCGCACTACCTCTCCGTAGGTCCAGAGTTCGATGCCTCGTTCGAAGAATATCGAGAAAGAAAATTCTTTCTAATAGCGGTCACCGCTTGACAGGCAATCGCAAACCTCCGAGTGTATTTGGGCTATGAAAAAAAGCTTGTGTTTAAAATCATTTGCGTTCGGGGGCTCCCCTTTGTGTGATAACATCAAGGCGCACACCGCAAATCGGAGGTGAAGCTTTGCCAACCACGAACAACCGGTATGATGCGTTTGGGAGCAACGTGAGCTATTTAGGGCCGATATAAGGAGCTGAAGAGGGAGGCGGGATGTATTTGCCGCAAGAACAAGGTTTAATCGATTGGAACATACCTGACATGGCGACATAGTGACGGATGTCAAGAACGTACATAAATTATGGAGGAAACACTTTAGCAAAT